AATGGTTTAATGAATGCTGAAGACATAGGTAGATACTTATGCATCATGCAATACAATCAGGGAGATGTCAAGCCTGTCCCTAAATCATTCTGCAGCAGACCAATGACCCCAAACATACAAAGTAATAAAGAACTATCCAGTGAAAAAATTCTGGAAGAGATGGTATGGACCCACAATGCCCTGATCTCCGCATCACAGAGTCTGTCTGGGATTCCATGAAGAAACAGAAGCAACTGAGATAACTTAAATTCACAGAACTGTGATTAGTCCTCCTAGGTTGTTCCAAACATCTACCTGCCAAGCTCCTCAATATACTTTGTGTAAGTATACATGGGATGATTGATGGTGTTCAAGTCAAAAGGGTGGACACAGCAAATATTGCTAAGGTTTAGTTTTTTCTGTTATGCACTCGGTAGGTGAATTGATTTAAAAAAAAACTATTGATTTTTAAAAAGCAGCTTCACTTTACAGCAATTTTTCACAAGTGACAAATGTTTGCACAGTACTTTTTGAATAAAACTGAGGCTAATGCTAGGTGCAGCTCTACCCAAGCCAGTTTTGGGTAGAACTTGCCTTTAAGTGCATCTCTGGTAATCTGCTGCTGATGAAGACTTTGACAACAAAGTGCCAGACCAAAAGGTTTCACCAAGTTCATGCCCAAAGTGCCAGAAGCTGAAGTGTGCTACAAAGGACAACAGCAGTTAGGGGGAAAGAAAGACCATTACATGACACTGCAGGGTAATTTTTAAATACATTTATTAACAAATGTTAACACATATTGCTAGTAAGAGCAGCTTACAAAATGGCAGAATGCGTCATAGAACTAGACCAGCCACAATGGATAATTACAATGTGCAGCGTGGCCAAGCGGAACATCTTGGTACAGTTTAAGAAATAGAAGTGAATTCAGTTTTGTACTAATGCTTTCAAAACTGTTTTTTTTTTTTTTTTCTTTTTACCATTTTTTAAAACTTACAACATATACAAAAACCAGGCCACAATCTTAATTGTTAACTTTAGTTTTCACACCGATTTAACTCTGCCATGTGCAACCATGTCAAAAGACACTGGAAAATAAGCTGAAAGAACACAAGTCTTTATTGTCATGCATATCATTGCAATATTGTATGTTTTCTGGAATGATTTCTATATTACATGAACTGTCACAATATAGTTTCTTTTGGTTTGGATCCATACTGTCGCTTGGAAATAAGAACTTGTGTTGCCAGGATTGTACTGCAGGTCACTATAGCAGTGGAGTGGTTCCTTTACAGTGATGTAATAGGGAAACGATTCGTCTCCGGGACAAGCTGTTATTCACAACAACCGATGAGATGTTTGACTGACCATGTCTTGATTCCATTGCTGGAAGCTCTAACCAAGGCCTCAAACAGTAATGAAGCTTGTTAAACACAACCACCAGCATCCTCTTCTTTATTCAAAGCAAACCTGTGATATGAGAAAACAGGCCACTAATTATCTCATACTGAAAATTCCAATTGACTGGCTGTTATGCTGACCCTCTGGCTTTAATAAGGGACATTTATCAAGGAAATGTAGACACACACTTATATTGGCAATTAGGTGACCTCAACAATGTTGGTGTATTTGCAACCCCTTATCCTGGACAGCTAAGACAGTTTTGCAGTTATGTGAAAACATTACTGTTCTACATCAGATTTTCACTGAAAACGTGTATAATTAGCAGTGGTCAGGGGCAGGTTTTATATTGGTGCAGTGCTACTTTAGGGCAATCTTATAGTATATCTGTCTCATTGCCCCTGTGTTGGACAGAATTGATAAATGTGCCTCCCTGACTTTGAAATGTATACAAATTGGAAAATGTACTTTATCTGCATACTTCAGAACATCCAGAACAAAGGTTTACATCACTAGAGCCCAGATGGTCAAGCAAGACAGTCAGGCAACCAGTAGTTTTAGAAGAATCGGTTAGCAATGACGGCCTCTATATTTCTCCCATGACAGATTTCTTTTAATATTTGTATTTAACGCTCCCAGACTGATGAAGAAGGGCACTTTAAGCATTTTAAGAAAGTTGCTTAAAGACTCTTAAACGTGGTGTCCCTAGACTTGTGTTTGCAAGGCATTATTAAAAAATGCCTGTGAGTTTGAAGCCTTATGAAATTAATTAATTGCTTAGATTTACCTGCAGACCCTAAAGAGACCCATCACCTAGCAGAGGGAAATGAAAGTGCAGGCTAAACAAGAGGACACATAAGTGGGTTAATTTACATACACTGCATTTCCAAGGTGGAGTTGCCTTGATAAACTCGGGGAATGGGGACCTACAGCGATAATATAGGTACCCAGCAACATTACTTCAAAAGTTAAAAATGCCTTACCTTCAAGTGCTACAATGCCTGCTTCCTATCATGGGGCCCGATTACTGCTGATTACAGTCACCACCTTTGTACAGTCCTTCCTAACAGCCACCACAGGCCACCTTTGTATAGCTGTTCACAACAGCCACCACAGGCCACCTTTGTACAGTTGTTCCCAACAGCCACCAAAGGCCACCTTTGTACAGGTGTTCCTAACAGCCACCGCAGGCCACCTTTTTACAGTCCTTCCTATCAGCCACTACAGGCCACCTTTGTATAGCTGTTCACAACAGACACCACAGGCACCTTTGTACAGTTGTTCCTAACAGCCACCACAGGCCACCTTCGTATAGCTGTTCCCAACAGACATGTCTGCACATTTGCAACCCTTTGCTTAGACCAAAGGCACCTGCTGTCAGTGCCCATATAAAAACATGTCCTTGTTCAACACTCAGAATTGCATTAGCCCAGTGTCTTTCCCCCCCAAAAAAACACTTCACTGGCATGTAACTAGCTCAGCATGAGGAAAGGAGCATTACCCTCCTCTGAGCTGGCAACGGATAGTAGATTTATAGCAGATGATGACAATTACATTTTTTATATGACAATGAAGAACTTCTTGTGTTGGCTAAGCCCAAAGTGTAACTGTCAGTTTGTAACAAAGCCTGAATTTCAGTGACTAGGGACAATGCAGTCAGTTCCCTGGTTTAGCTGACTACCCTACAGAACTATTCATGTACCAGTTTTCATAAAGACCTTTTGTAAAAGTCCAGGTCGTTCATCTTAGTGAAGGGGTGGGGTATGAGAACAGCATGGAGCGGTGGCAGCCTGTAGATCGTTGCCAACCCACTTACAAGTGCAATTTTCCTGAACCTATGGACAAACCCTACACCCAGAAAGAAGCTGGAGGAGGGGCACAGCATGGGTTACAGAGGTGACCATTTCCCCAACAATCACCTCTTGAAATCTGTTACATAAAAGGCCTCCATTACCGACACCTGATAACAGTTTTCCACTGCCAAGGTCTATAGCTTATAATAAATATTAAAACCCCTGAATAAATATTTACAAATTTCCTCAGTTTAGATCCATCCTTATAGCTAGTAGGTTAGATTGTTTTGTAAAACCCCAAATTACATTAAAAAAATCCCGTTCACAAATAGAAATGCAATCAAATAAAGGCTAATTAGACTACAGATAAGAATGATCATTAAAGTGGAAAATGATGGTTAGTAGGTTTGAAATAAAATCTCTAAAAAACCTGGAAGATCAATAAAATATGTGTAAAATAAATTGTTCCACTCCTATGAGTAATGTTTGCTTTGATACTGAAAAATACAGACGACAAGTTATAAAAAAATGAAAAATGTATTGACCTTCATTCTAAGTGCGGCAAGGAAGCATCTTTGTCACCACAAATGGCAGTGAATTGAAGAGATTGGTCAATTGGACACAGGAAGTGCTAAAATCTATTTACTGGGCTGGAAACCGAGGGCAAAAAAAATCATATACCTGCAGACTTAAGCTGGCCATACACCTATAGATTATCTGCAGAGTTTCTATGGTCAGATGGAAAACGTGCAACAGATTCTTCCATCTACGCTAAACTGTGTGGATGGAGGAATCTCCACCTGGGCCAAGCTCCAGTATCTATAACTGAAAAATACCTGAACAATGTCTGCATCCAATCAGATTGTTCAGGTATTTTGAGAGCCAGCGGGGCCGACTAGCAAGATACTGAACTTGGCCCAGTGGTAGATTCCTCCATCCACACAGTTTAGTGTAGATGGAGGAATCTGTTGCACTTTTTCCACAGAAACCACTGACCACAGAAAATCTGCAGATAATCTATAGGTGTATGGCCAGCTTTATTCTCTATCAGAAAACAAAAAGCCACGGAATGAAGAAGCCCATAACAACCAATTAAAATCATATTTACTTAGTCTGCCAAATCTAAGATATTGAATATGGATTATGATTGGTCATTAGAGATTAACACATCCTACTGCTCTTTGGGCTGTTGAAAGAAGTTCAGTATTGCTTTTTACAGGTTTCTGCCATCAGCTGCATGCAGGGAGTTCTTTAAAAGACAGGTCTGTGCCGCAAGTCCGAAGAACAAGTTTCTTCACAAAGACGGATCACAAGTTTACCAGCAGTGTGTGAATGGCTTATTGTGATACAGCTTTGTGCATAAAGGTCAATGTTCTTAGGACCTATCTTTAAAAGAATTGCATGTGCATTCAGCATGGAAAAGCTGCGTAGTAGAAGCTTTCTGTAAGTAGGATCCCCAGGCGGCAGCAGGTTCTCGATCGCCATAGCTTTATACAAGGATGCTTAACAGGATAACAGGACAGGATTTTTGCACTTTCATTTGTAATGGGTTGGTTTGATGCCCATTAGGCTTTTAGTGTTCTCAAAGACCACGCAGCCCAAGACACAGCACTCCTGTCACAAATGTATATATATACATATATGTATATATATATATATATATGTCACTAATATATATATGCTAAACCTTTCAGCTGAGCTTATTGTGTTGATAGTTTTCCCTATTCCATTCTATAAAGAATCCACCATACATTGCAAATGTATTTACCCAATGTCTCCATAGGTTCCCGAGTGAGATGACAGGCTAGGGTGAACTCTGGCCAACTCACAAAATGCCATCTCCACAATGACTATGGGACCCATATACTTTTAAAGGTGGTAAGTTACCCTGCGTACGATTGTTCTAGCTAACCTGGCAGTGGTGCACTGATACTGCATTGTGTTAAGTTCTTAACTTGCAACAATATAAACTGTGTACTTAAACAAGTTGAGTGAACAATAAATACACATGCTTTCTGAAGTATGAGGCCACTGAATTTATGGACTGTGAATCAGAACGGGCTAGTTCGATGTAAGCGTACCCTGACAAATATCCAAAATTAGAACTGAATGCCTAGAAGTAGTGTGAACAGCTGAATCACATAAACTCATGAATTGCTCACGACACAGCTGGGATCTCCAAAACAAAAAAAACAACCCTGCGAAGAAACATCCAAGGTAATTCCTGGCTTGAATTGTCTACCAAGTGTGCCTCCATAGGTCTCTATGAACTGTGCAAATTGTAATTTATTTCTATGTTCTAAGATAGGATTACCTGTATTTAAAAAAGGATAATATATTTCCATTTCTTTATAAAAGTTATATATTGAAAATAAGTAATGAACAAACATGGGATATATTTTACAAATAAAATGTGCAAGAACTACGCTTGCCTTGTGAACCCTGTTCCCTAAACTTTAACGTTAACCCCCCAGATACAGAATAAGTAAAAACGATAATGCCTTTTAAAATGAAATGAACGGCAGGCTTGGAGGCGTGAGGCTCTGCTTAAGGTAGTAAATGTCCTACTTCTTACATTTCGTACATTCACAGATCCATGACCAATACATTTCACCTCTTCTGACCTCAACTGTATTCTGTTCCTGTCTCCAGAGAGAATCCTGGTCCACTACTGCTCTGTTAGGCACAAGAAAACAAAATGGTGCCCATCTCACTTTCTGAGGCACAGAAACACAAAACTGTGCCTTCTTCGCTGACTAGATCAGGAAGGATTAAAACCAGATGGCAGATTTACCACTTTAACAATGATTTAAAATATTTAAAACTTTAAAAAAAAAACAACATAAAATGCCTTCAACCTGCAGATGTAAAAATTGTCTAGCAAAACTACTGTGTGTCTCAGCAATAGTTTCAAAACGAACATGGAACCGATTCTCAAATCAGCGTAACCTTAGTCTCATAGGAAGGAAAGTGGGCCAACCATGAGTGCTCCCAGAAGAGCTCCTTGCACAGATCAGCACAGCATTACAGGATCATCTGGCAGCAAACAGGTTGGAAGGAAAGGTCAAGCACAAGACTGAATGTGCAAAACATGTTGCAACCTAGTGTCTCAGCACTTCAGTACTGGAGCTGTGCAGTCAGCATACTGTCCAGCACTGAGCACACTAGGAGCTGGTTCGGAAATGGTACGCAGGTAGTAAGCAAGTACGGTGTCTTGGAAATGATAAAATGCAGAGTTTGAGGAAAAATATCAGAAATATAATGCAGGGGGAGGATTCATCTTTTCCTGCGGCAGGTCCTCTTGTGTTCAGCGTGCCAATGCTCCTGCTGGCATTTAATGGAGCAATAAGAGGTGTTCCAGCAGCAGTGGTACATGGCTTCCTCCTCACAGTTGTAGCACTATAGAAAGTAAAAAAAAAAAAAAAAAAAAAAAAATAAAAAGGAAATGCCTGTTGTGGAAATATG